TAAGTTTTTCCCATGCAAGTTCACAGACATCAGGTTAAGAACCCCCTTCCAAGACAAACTGTGTTTGAATTAATGGGCTCTGATTGAGGATCTGGAAGCTTCAGTGTTCTATTGGCAGAGTAGGGATAGGGAGGCAGGACCCAGTAACACTGACTGGGTGGCAGAGACTCTGAGGAAGAAGGGAAAGGAAACTGCCTGTTCAAAGAAAAGTCCTAAGCTTCAGGCTGCTGTGCAGAGTAACCAGGAAAGCCAGGTAATAAACAGATGACTGTCAATAATCAATAAATATTTATTTAGCACCATCTACCAGGGACTCCCTGCCCTTAAGGAGCTTACAGTCTAATGGGGAAAGGCTACACACAAAAGGAAGCTGGAAAGTGGGGGAGAAGAGTAGTGCCCAAGGGTACCCAGAGTGGAGGCATGAAGAGCAACTGATGAGAAATGAAGAGTTGGCCAAAAAAGTATGAGCCCATCTTTAGAGGGAGGCCTTGAGAGGAGCTCATGGCCCCCCTTCCCATCAGTCCTGCAGTCAGAGGGAACAGGCAACTGAGGATACTGGGGAGCTCTTGAGTATCATTCTTCAAGATGATAAGAAGTATATTCAAAAGACCTTAGACTCTAGTTAGCTGTGTGACCCTGGGCAAGTCTCAGTGCTCTGGGCAGCTTTCCAAGACCCTAAGTTTCAGTGGGAGAGCCCCCAACATTGGTAAAGGGAATTTCCTCCCCTGGATCTCCCTATTCCAGTGAAATCCCGGGGCCCGTCCCTAAACTATCCAAACGACACGCCTCAGGAAGCCATCACAATAAAGTGTTTTCCATCCTGGACTCTGATGAGCCTCAAAGCAGACTTAGGAGACAGGTCTCAGCTGTAGTTCCACATTTTGCAGGAGGCCTTTCCTGGTCCACCAGCTGCTGATCAGTGCTGCTCCCTAGAGATGACCCCTGTCTAATCAGGACCTAGTCATCTTTATGTTGTTTCCTTCTTTAGAATGGAAGTCCCTTGAGGATAGGGCCTCTATCTGCTTTTTCCTTTGTATTCTCCAGCTCCTAAATTGGCACATGGTAAACACTTAATAAGAGTTTTTTAATTGATGGATGGCTGGATACTGTAGGTAGCACTATCTCCATTTAATGGAACAGGAAACTAAGGCTCAGAGCCATTAAGTGACGTGTCCATCCATGGTCACAAAGCCAATAGACAAGTGTCTGATTTGAACTCAGAGCTTCCTTGCTTGACTCCAAATCTCCAAAGGTGTCAAACGCTCCTGAGCCCAGCCTGAACCAGATTAATGTGTAATTGGGAAATATTTAACAAAATGAATTAAAATACAATCAAATATAGATAATATCACATTAAAAAAAACTAAGTCAATATGAGGCCTGCAGGGTTCCTTATTATGGATTAGTGGCCCGGGTTCTATTTGAATTTGAGCCACTGCTCTAGCTACTTAGCTCTCAACCCGTAGGCACCTTGAGGGTTCCATTGGCATGGTAAAGTCCTGGCATAGGCTTCCTCAGGCTTTGGGAAATTGTGGCAGCATCAAAATAATGTAAAGAATTTCAGAAGGACCTCAGAGGTCATCTGGTCCTGCTTACATCTAAGCAAGAATCCCTCTCCATGGTACTTGAAGGAATGCCCGTCTAACTTTTTCTCACAGGCCTTCAGGGAGTAGGAATCCATGATCTCTGGAAGCAGCTTGGGCTAGCATGTCTTCTCTTAGATCAAGCCTCAGTTCACCCTTTGGATATTTCTACCCATTGTGCCAAAATAGACCAAGTCTAACGTGGCAGCCCTTCAAAGACATGGAAAGAATGGTTAGGTCCCCCGAAGTTTCCCCTTCTCCAGGTGAAACAGCCTCAATTCCCTGAACACTAGGGGATGACTTTGGCTGACAGGGGTATGTTTGGGTTTGCCAAGAGACCTCTCTGATGGTTGATGGGTTTTTGTTCTGGGACCTATGAAAGGCTACTCTGAAAGCTTGTTTCATTCAGACCCAGGAGACTGTATCGGAGTATAGTAGATTTCCCCAGGAGTGGGGGTGGCAGGACTAGGAGGGAGAGGGGAATAAAGGAAGGTATGGGTCCTGTCCTAGAATGTCCTTCCTTCTTGCCTCTTGGAGTCTGGGATTGGAGTTGTCTTCCCAAGTGGACCTGGTCTGAAATGAATCTTCCTTGTATCTCAGGCTGTGTGCCCCTGGAAAGTGAAAGAATCAGAAGCCATACAGAGCTAGGATTGTGGCAGGGACCTATGAGGACTTCTAGTCCAGCCCTGTCTTTTACAGATGAGGACACTGAGACCTACAGAGGTGAAGTGGAAGAAATAGGATTTGAACCCAAGTCCTCTAGTGCTCGCTTCATTGCAAATGGGCAAAAGAAGGGTTGACCTGTCCTTGGCTGGGGGCCCATCTTCTGACCATCAGCCATGTGCTTTTGCACTTCTGGAATGGGAAAGTTACAGAGTTCATCAGAGTAAGTCCATTGCCAATCTGTCTTTGAATCTCCAGCACAGGCCATTTGCAGGTGGTAAGTGGTTAATAAATGCTAACATCAATTAAATTGATTTCAGTATGGACAGTTAATCAATACCTGTTCTTTAATGTACTGGGTAGCAACAAAGGTCAGAGCTGGAGGAGGCAGGTTTAGTAACTTAAAAGCCAACCTGAAATTGAAGGTCAAGATTAGGATTTTAGTATGTGAGCATATACATATACAGTGCAGTGGAAAGAGTGTTGGGTTTCAGAGGCAAGAATGCCTTGTCTGTTAGAGTTAGCAGCTCTATGACCATGGGCAAGTCAGAGCTTCTCTGAACCTCAGTTTCCCAGCCTGAAAAATGGACCTGTTTACCTCATAGGGCTGTTGTGAAGATTGAAAGATAATGTAGGTAAAACAATTTGAAAATTTCAAAACATGTTATAGATGGCAGTTTAAATGTCAGCCTTAGACCCTGGGCAAGTCTCTAAGCCTACAAGTTGCAGAGATAGTAAGAGGCAGCTGGATAGACCAGTGGCTAGGGCACTAGGTCTGAAGTCAGGAAGACCTGAATTCAAATATAGCCTCAAACACTTACTAGCTGAGTGACCCCAGACATATCACTCAGCCTCTGTCTGCTTCAGATTCCTCATCTGTAAAATGGACATAAGGAAACCTTTTGCATTGGAGTGTTCTGGGGCTCAAATGAGATGCAGTAATGTGAGATGTGCAGGCTGTTAGGGACTGTCAATACTCTTCTCTGCACACAATGTACATACAGGTACATAGCATGCTTGCTGTCCTTGTCAGATTAGAAAAAATATATATGTACACATACATATGTATATGTGTACATGTATGTATGTGTATACGTATTAATGAAAGTAGTCGGGACTTAGTTTACTGTCTGAAAGGCTAAAGTACGTGTGTGTGTGCACATACTTTAGCCTATATATATGTATATATAGAAATATGTACATACGTACACATATACCTTTATATACATATATACACATACATATATGTGTATGTGTGCATACACACACACACACATACACACACACACACACACACACACACACACTTTAGCCTTTCAGACAGTAAACTAAGCCCTCCCTACTTTCATTAACAGCGATCCTTTAGCACCCTGGGGCTGTCATTGTCTAAAAACCTGACCAGTATGTCTTTGTTCGGTATGATGGTTTTTTCTTGGTTGGAGCCAGTCAAGTTCCATCCTTGCTGATATTTGGATTGGAACTTTAAACAGCTGGACTGCTGGACTGTCATGGGCAAATATTTTTTTCTCCTGAGGAAGTCCTGGACCAGGTACCCTAAATGGCAGAAATTCAATTAAACAAATATCATTTCTCTAGTCTACTAAAGAGTAATGTTGGCTTGGGAGAAGTCACACTCCCCCCCCCCAGTATCATTTTATAATGGTCAGGGGTCCCCTAAAAGAAAATGATTTTTCTGTTTTTCCTCCCTCCCCTCTCTTTCAAGGAATACCATTTTCTCTCATTGAGAAGAATTTGCTCTCTCTCTCTCTCTCTCTCTCTCTCTCTCTCTCTCTCTCTCTCTCTCTCTCTCTTTCTCCTCTCTCCTTCCTTCCTTCCTTCCTTCCTTCCTTCCTTCCTTCCTTCCTTCCTTCCTTCCTTCCTTCCTTCCTTCCTTCCTTCCTTCCTTCTTTTTTGGTGACATCCAGCTTTCTGTCACTCAGAAGTTTTGAGAACCTAGGACCATAGGAAGCTGAAGGCTATCCAGTCTGACACTCTCATACTATGCCGAGGAAACAGAGGCACAGTTTTCTTAAGCACTCACTGTCTGCGGGGCCTTGTACTAAGCACCTTACAGACATCTCATTTGATTTGGCACAAAATGTAGGGGTTATTTTTAAAAACAATAGTTTAGTTTTTTATTAATGTCTTTTGTTTTTATATCACATTTGTTTTCAATTTTATACCCCAATCCCCTGACACATATCCATGGACTATTCACTTAAAATAAAGATTAAAAAATGTCCCGCAAAGCCACCCAACCATGTCTGACAGGATAAGTCACGTTCCACTCCTGTGGGCTCCATCTTGGCAATGAACGAAGGGAAGTTCACTCTCTTGTCTCTTCCCTGAGGTCGAGCTTGGGCATTTACAATTGCTCAGTGTTCCGCTTCATTTTCTTGATCATTCCATTTACATTGTTGCAGTGAGCATGTGTTTTGTTTTCTGGCTCTGCTTCCTTCACTCTGCATCTGTTCATGTAAGTCTCCCATGCTTTTCTGAATTCTTCACATTCAGCATTTCTTTTGGTCCAGTAATTCTCGTCATTCCACTTGCTACAACTTGTTTGTCTGTTTCCAGATGATAGACACCACTTTCATGTCAAGATGAGGACTGGGTAGAAGGTGGGGCTAAAGGAAACCTGAATCCCTCCTCTGCCCCCACCATGCCTGCCATGTTTATCTGTGAGAACCTGGGTATCCATGTTCGAGTGTGACTATAAATGTCTCCTGTCTGTTTTTTTTTTTTTTTGCCTAGAATAAAGAAGTGACATGTAAACGAGAGAAGTGTCCACTGTTCTCCAAAGACTGTGCCCTGGTGGTTAAGCAGAGGGGAACCTGCTGTGAACGATGCAAAGGTGCTGCTTTTCTTGGGTCTATTTGTTTGGCCTCTGGAGTTTTTCCTCACCCTTTTCCTCCCTCAGTCCTTCTCTGCAGATGAGTTGGTGGTAGGAATTTGGGAGTGGGGACAGGGGAAGGGGGGTTTCCAACTCCAAGACTCTAATCTCTCCCTCTATAAATAACTTTGTCTTCTGTATGGCCCTTGTATTTACTTATCAGCAGCTAGTAGATAGAGCTGGACCTGGAGTCAGGAAGACCTGAGTTCAAATCTAGCCTCAGACTCTTACAAGCTGTGTTACTCCAGACAAGTCACTTACTTCAGTTTCCTCATCTGCAAAATGGGGATAGTAATAGCATCTACCTCACAGGATTTTTTTTTGGTGAGGATCAAATGGAATAATAATTGTAAAGTACTTAGTTAGCACTATGCCTGGTGTGTTGTAAGCACCATCTGAATGTTAACTGGTATAGTTATTATTATTGTTGTTGTTGTTGCACAAAGTTGCGCCTTCACCCTCTTCTCCACCTCTCCCCCAAGCATTTTCTTTGGTGACTGCTGGGGCTGTATCACTTTTATATTTATCCCCAGCATCTTGTTCACTGTCTTTCCAGGAGTAGGAGCATAGCAGATACTTCATGAATTGAACTGAACTGAATCCCCTCACTCTATCCAAACCATTCAATCATTCATTCAGTGAACACTTATAAAAGCCTACTATGTGTCAGGCACTGGGTTAAGCGCTGGGGCAAAACCAAAGATGTTTTTGCCCTCAATGCGCTTACATTCTATTGGGGAAAATGACAAGTCCATAAATAGCTAAATAAAAACTGGTATAAATTAAATAAATGCAGGATGGAGGCAAGGAGTGGGGAAAAGGGAGCCTCTCCATGATTGCTTGGTTCCTTTTCATTAACCAATACTTTCCGCCTGTCTTACCTTTACTCAAAAACTTTGGCATGGCCCCATTTCCTACCAGTATCAAAGCCAAATTCTTCTGCTTCATTCTCAAGGACTTTCATCATCTGACTCCGTTCTCTTGATGCCACCTTATTCAATACCCACCCTTTATCCTGGTCTAGGTGGCCTTCTCACTGCTTCATGTGCATGCAATGCTCATTGCCAGCCCTGAGCTTTTGTGGGTGCTCATTTCCCTTGCCTGGAATATTCTCCTAATTAATAATAATGATGATAATCATAATGATAAGCCATGATACAGTGATTTATGGTCTGCAAAGCACTTTAAATTCTTGTTCTCATTTAATCCTCATAAGAACTCTAGGAGGATTTGTCGTTATTATCCCCATTTTACAGATGAGGAAACTGAGACTGAAACAGGTTATGTGGTTTGTCTGTGGCTCACATAGCTCTTGTGCATTGGAACGAAGATATGAACTCGTGTATATCCTGATTCTAGGACTCACCCTCTCATACTACTCTTATGCTACCGAGATTTGGAGGCAGAGCTCCAGACTTGGAGGCAGAGGACTTGAATTCAAATCTTCCCTTTCACGTCCTGTGTGACTTTGAGTGAGACACTTCACTACTCTGGGGCTCAGTTTCCTCATTGATAAATGAGACAGAATAGATGGTCTCTAAGACAGAGCTAACTCTATGGTCCTTTATAATGTTGGACAGTTCATCTGCCCTCATTTTTTTTTAAATCCATAGAACAAGGGAACTGGACCAGATGACACCTAAGGTCTCTTATGGCTCTAAAGCTATCACCTTATGATCTAAAATCTTCTCATCAAAACCCAACTCTCTTGTTATTATTCAATCATTTCAGTTGTGTCTAACTCTCCGAGGCCCCATTTGGGGTTTCTTGGCAAAGATGCTGGAATGGTTTGCCATTTCCTTCTCCAGCTTATTTTACAGATAAGAAAACTGAGGCAGACAAGGTTAAGTGACTTGCTCAGGGTCACAGAGCTAGTAAATGTCTGAGACTGGATTAGAACTCAGGAAGAGGAGTCTTCTTGGCTTAAGGCCTGGCACTCTACTGCAGCACCTAGCTGCCCAAACCCAACTCAGGTGATGCTTTTTCCAGGAAGCCTCAATCTCTCCAACCCCTCATGCTATCCCCCTTCCACAGATTTTTATGGCACTTGTAGTCTGACTCACAGAAATGAACCTGAGAGGTAGGAGGGGTCTTAGTAGCCACTGAAGCCAATTCCCTTGGTTGTAGGTTGAGGAAATTGAGGAGAGATGGAGCATCTCCCCTCATCATTACCAGTGAGTTCAGTCTTCCCTAAGGAGCCCCAGGACCGTAGATCCAGACCTGGAAGGGAAGTTAGCATCTGTCCAGTCTAATTCTCTCATTTTACAGATGAAGAAAGTGAGGCTCAGAGAGGTGACAGAAATAGGTAAGGTTATACAGCAGGAGTTCTGACCTGGGACCTCTCAATCCCTAAGAGGCTTACAGATAAATTTTGGGGTATCTGTGAACTTGGATAGGAGATCCACATTACATCTTTATTTTCATGAACCCCTAACTGAAATTTAGCCCTTCTTTCAATTACTTAAAAGAGCATTATTCTGAAAAGGGCTCATGGTTTCATAAGATTGCCAAAGGGGTCCATGACACACACAAAAAAGTTCTATCACATTGGATCTTAGAGGCCACTTAATCCAACCTCCTAATTTTACAGATGAAGAAACTGAGGCTCAGGTGAATTAATTGCCCAGGATGGCAGAACCAGGATTGGAACTCAGGTTCATGACTCCAGTGTAGCCCTTTCCATAAGGCCCCTGACCAATGCTGAGATCTTAGTCTTCTGATTCACATTCCAAAGTCCATTTTCACCTCCTGCCATTGCCTGGTCTTGTCTCCTTCACTGGAGTGAATGGAAGTCTTCTCTCTCACTGGGTTATAGACTTCTCCAGCAGAGATGCTGCTGAATTCCTGGCATGGTAGGTGGAGATTGTGAAAAGGCAGGTTCAGACTTGATGATGATTGAGGCCATCCTAACAATTAGAGCTGTTTGAATGTGGAATGAATGGGCTTCCCCTGGAAGGCACTGGGCTTCCCAATCCGGAGGTCACCCTGGAGTCTGTTGAATAGGGAGTGACTCGGTCAGACCTGAGGAAGACATCTGAGTGGCGGATTGACTGGAGTGGAGAGATACTGGAAGCAGGGAGATTTACCAGCAGCTAGTATAAGAGTCCAGGAGGGGAGTGATAAGGGCCTTCACCTGGCTAGCGGCACTGTCAGAGGAGAGAAAGGGATTTATTTGAGAGATGCTGCAAAGGACAGATCACTGGTCTTGAAATCAGGGAGATCTGAGTTCAAATCCTGACTCACATCCTCGCTATTTGTGTGACCCCATCCAAATGGATGCACATTGTAGGACTTCCAAATCTATACACACTACTTCATCCTTAGGAAGGATAGTATTCACACCCATCTTTGCAGAGTCTTTGGGATAAGGCACCCTTCAGAACAGACTCCATCTTCATCCTTGACCCCCTGCCCCACAGCTTTACGTCGGGTGTTTTGTTGCTCAGTTGTCTCAGTCATGCCTGACTCTTTGTGCAACCCCATTTGGGGTTATCTTGGCAAAGATACTAGCGTGGTTTGCCATTTCCTTGTTCAGCTCACGTAGCTGATGAGGAAATGGAGACAAACAGGGTTAAGTGACTTGCCCAGGTTCACACAGTTAGTAAGTGTCTGAGGTTGGATTAGAACTCAGGAAGATGAGTCTTCCTGATTCCCAGCCCAGTGCTCCATGCACTAAGCCACCATAAGATTTCAGTGCAACCCCCCAATCACTCCAGCATTGCTCTTGGTCCTGGGGATAGGAAGACAATAAATAACATAGCCCCTTGCCCTCAAGGAGCTTATGGTCTATTGGGAGCATCTAACATGTCCAAATCATGAAAACCCCCTGAGCCTCAGTTTCCTCATCTGGAAAATAAGGCAATCTTTTGGACCAATTGCTCTATGGTAGTTGGATGGATTTATTGAACTGCACTCTCTCAAAGTCTGAAAATTGTTTATATCAGTTCATGGATGTGAATGAGATTATGGCAGCCAGCTCTGTCTGTGCTCTCTGCTTGGGCTATCATTCTATCAAATGAGATATTTGTAAAGCTCTGGCACATAGCAGGAACTCAGTAAATACACGTTCCCTTCTCCTATTCGTAGCTTTCCAGCAAATCTGTTTTCTTCTGATCATCCCTTAGACCTTAGGATCCTTTAGCTTCCTTTGCGTGGCTTCAAAGCTTTCCTCCAGATTATTTCTGAATGCTCTGTTTTCTGGGGTCGTGGAAACAGGGAAAGAATGCTGGGCTCTAATTTGGGAGCAGGAGGAATCCATTCAAATACTGAATCAGACACTCTGTGATCACAGGCAACCTATTTTACCTATCTGAGCCTCAGTTTTGCTCATTTGTAAAATGGGTATAATAATACTCACAGCATGTACCTCATGGGGCTGTTGTGAGTGTCAGATGAGACAATCACACAATGTGTTCTGCATTCCTTAAAGTGTCAGGTAGATGTGAGGTGTAGTTATTCTTGCTGTCCCTCTCTTCATTTCACCTTGTCCCAACGACTTGATCATCCCATCTCCAAGCAATTTCCCAGTTCACATTCTGTGCCTTGAGTGCTGCCCTGGCTGGCCCTTTTTCCTGCTCTCTCTTGCTCTCCTTCCCTATCATTTTGTAGCTTTTCCTTCCCATCATTCTCCATAGAAATTAGCATAAAAACGAGGTTTAAGATTAGATCGCTTGTTATTTTAAGAAAGATTTTCTTTCTCCCTGAAAAATCATCATTTTAATTTCATTTTCAAAAGGTTTAACATTAGAAATGGATATGGTTTTATAAGTGGAAATGGCATTAGAGAAGATGTATTATCATCTGCCTTGTGCTACCCCATGAGGACCATGGGGATCTTTCTGATTTGCTCCTGAAACCTCTTATAATGTTGTCTTCCTTTACTAGAATGCAAGCTTCTTGAGGGAAGGGACTGAATGACTTTTCTATTTCTATTGCCAGTACCTATTACGATGCCTGGTACA